TAAATATTCTATTTAATTTAAAAAAAATTTTAATTAAATAGAAAAAATTCAAAAGGTTAAAGACACCAAGAAGCCCTGGTCCTGGTCGGGTAGTTCCGTTAGTTAGAGCGTAGTCCCAAAACATCAAGGTTGCATTTATCCTGATATTTGAGGTGAGGAAAGCTGACACCTGGGCTCCTGGGAAGTGGGTGTGGCAGCATCTTGGGAAGGAGAGAGCTGCAGAACTGAGAATGGCAAAAGGCCTGGGAAACTGATGGGAGAACCTTCTTTAAGAAGAAGTTGGTTGGCAGAGGAAGAACGATATTTCATAAACACACATCATCTGTGTGTCACTCCGTTCTTTCCCTTCCAGCCTCCTCCAGGCACAGTCCAGAGGAGTAAGGAGATTCTACCTTTCTTTGGAAGGACTCTGATCCCCAACAGGCGCGCTGGGATCTGTCCTTGGTCCTGAAGTGATACCTGAACCAATGCCAAGTGATACAAGAACCAGTACGTGGTTTCTTGGGACCAAGGACACTGGTTAGTGTGATGCTTCCCTCAGTAGTTCTGAACCACGTGAGAAATGTTATTTCCAGCCTTAAAAATATCAGCGATTTTTGCATCTTGTAGCCCTCCTCTTCCTAGGGTGCTCGCTGCACCCACTCTCCAGGAGTTCTAGTTATAGCTGCCCCATCCTGCATACCAGGCCTACAGGGCACACCCACCAACATGGGCCCACACATCCAGTGAGCACCCGCTCTGTTTGCTAGCCCTCTAAATTGATGGTCCATTCCCATAAATGTAGGGCATGTGATGTTAGATGAGAGGTCAATGACTTGCTGAACAAGCAGAACCAAAACTTGGTTTCCCAATTTCCATGTCTTCATTCATGCATTTTTGAGAGTTTCACAATTTCCATCCCCCACAAAGTTATTTTCACTTTTTGAAGATGGCAGGGAAAGCACGGCTACCCTATGATCATCACACTGTGAGAGCTGCATGAACTGAAAGTGACCCTTCCATACCCTTCAAAACCTGAGGGGCCTGAGAATTCAGGTTGAGCCTGAAGTGTGACATCCTGATCTGCTCTGGCATCAAAGGAGAGAGAACGAGAGTGCGCAGGGGTTTTCATATTTTAGGGGAGACTCCAAAAGGCAGCCAAGAGAGTGGCAGCCGGGCCTCAATTGGACCCCACCTACTCACCTTGACACAACTTGGGAAAGGGGAGAGAACATGTACTCTGGCCCTTGCCTAGCCCTGCACCTCGCTTTCCTCTCCCCGCCCCCACCCATGCATCTCAGCAGAAAACCTTTTTTCCCCTCCTTCTTTCAGCCCAGCCTGTGGTGAGACCATTTCCTGTTGCCTTCATTGGGAATCCGTGTCTCTTTGCTTGCTGGTCAGGTAGGGTTAGGGGCTGTTTGAAACAGAGAGGAACTCCGCTGAGATACCAGCACCCTCAGTGTCTCAGCAGAAAACCTGATTCCTAGCAGCAGCTGCAGGATGAGATCATGCCTGGCCTGTTACATGGACCACAATGAAGGAGGAAGCAGGAGGGGGATTGGGGATGGCATGAAGAGGGTAAATAACCCTTAGATTGGCACTCATTTCAGCCTGGAGAGAGAGGAATGGGGAGGGTCCCCCCATTTTCTGAGTATTGTGTTCTCTCCCTCTCTCAGGAGAAGGGAGATGATATAGGAGAGAGAAGGTAGAATAAAAAGGCATTCGGGCTTGTGGGGAGGAGGGCTATTGGTTTAGGGGAGCATTGGCAATAGGATCCTATCTCCATCCTCAGAATCAGGGACAAGTTCCTGTTCTACTCCGCCATTCCCCCTCTCCCTGTCTCGTTCCTCACCTCACCAGCCCCGGGAGTGAATCCTGGCTGCACCATTATTTCACTGCACGACGCTGGGCGAGTCACTAAACTTTCCCATCAGTTTTCTCATTCATAAAATGGATACGTTGATCCCCACCAGGGATGCAGTGAGGTGAGGCAGGGAAGGAAGGCACAGTGCAAGGCACACGGGCGACCCAGGCACCCCACAGCCCTTGCTGCCCCACACCGCGCGGCGCTCTCCCCAGCCAGGCACCCTCACCGATTCT